AACAGGTAGCTGTACGCTTTAGCTTTTTATAATTACTCAGACTGTTGTAATGCTTAAAATATTATATATGTTGGTCAACGACGAGTTATACTTAAAATTCTAGCGATATGCTTTTATTCTAGCGCGGTTGTTTTGAAACGCGAGTGAAGCGAATCATAGTGAATTTCAACCCTGCTTTTGGCTTGCAAAATCGTCGGCGGGGCTTGAAACGGTTTTCCACGTTTTTCTCGGAAAGGAACGGATCTTTCAAAGAAAAAATTACATGGCGTTTGTACACTAACTAAAGTCTACTAGAATGCAAAAGAAGAGCGATTTTGATTGTTTGAGCCTTGCCGCACTTTGGTCGATATTTGCATGGAGTTGCTCTTAAGAGCGAAAATTAGCTTTGTGAAGTCTGGTCAGAAATCACCGTGTTTTATCAATAAAGTGCGGAATTATATTTCACTATTTGACCAAATAGAATCTATGTTGCCATGTGTCTGTTCAGTGATGAATCGTCACAGATGACATTAAAATGTGGTACACAAAAAAAAAGTGGCACATGGTGCGCGCTATTGATGGTGACGTCATCTATGCGTACGTCCTCCAATAGACAGACAATAAGCAAGAACCAGTCAAAATGCGTTCATAATTCACCAAATAACAGCCAATAGAAGATTGCAGCTGTCACTCAGAGGCCCTAACTAACGAAAAGAAAAAAAAAAAAGAGGGATAGGCTTTGGCTGATAACTCCTACCTAGACCTTGATTATTGTGGATATCGCAAAAACCTCATCCAATAATTGTTCATAAAACCAGCTGTAAACTATTGCTTATCAACAGCATTGACTTAACACTGCACGCATTGTTTGAACGATTACATAAATTAACTGAGAAAGCAGTATAAATTCTGAAATAAACTTCAGAATGAATGGTTGGTGGGTAGAGTATTTGTAATTCACGCAAACTGATCTGAATGCGATCTGTTTCATCTGAACACATTGACACTCCAACCACAAAGAAAAAAATTTAATGAAACTAGATTATAATTAATACTTTTCTTTCTATTTAACAAATAGAGAAGCCTTGACTGTGCTCTATTCTGTTGTAAAGCAGGCAGGAAGCGGCGAAAGCACGAAAGAAGTGTAGTGAGAAACATGAGACGTAGTCGAGTAATTTCTGAGGCTTGCTTTAATGATACTGCGATGACCGGAGATTGCCATGATGAGCTAGCCGCGATGGATCTCAGCATGATCTCAGTTGCTCTGACACCGTCATGATTGGTATGAATTTACCAGTTATGCCAGTCTAGCTATACTTTTCATCATTCCTATTTTTTTCTGCTTTGTTTTTGAACACGAAACTATAACACGGGTGTTAGCTGTATTTTTTTTTTATTTCCGTACGTAAGCTTGCAATCTGACTGAGCGTGAAACCTTCAGAAGTCGGAGTGTTCATTTCGTTTTCTCGTTGAGGAGTTTCGTTTTTGCTCATGTTATAATAACGTCAGTTACGGCGCTTGGCATGTTTACAGAACTTTCTTTGTTCTTTTGTTACTAATTGCCGACTCGCTTGTTCCGAAATTTCACGAAAAAAAGCTAGAGAGAAGTCCGGGAAAAGATAGGACATAGTCAATAGTACAATTTGGCAGATGACATGACAGCTTTAGCCCTCTTGTTCTATGTTCTATACCCTGATAGAGAACTTTACTATGAAATATCTCCACGATCCAGCAAACAGAATAGATTAACTCATAAGTAAAGTGATACCTTTATTTAACCTTACATTTTCCCAAATTTGCAACTTGTATAGCAGATGAAGGGAAGAGTTTTTTACCAGATCTTTGAACTAAAAGAATTATATAAAGCAAAGGTAACTTATAAATGAGAATACGTCCATGGATTTTTACCTACGGTCTTTTTTATTTTCCTCCCTCCACTGAAAAAAATCAGTAATGAAGAGAGAGGAATATCGAAAATAAAGCTGCAAGATTATAGCTGGTTAACTCCCTGATCCATCAAAGTGCACGATTTTACATCGTCACCTAATTAGGGTTGTTTCTTAAAAACTTTTCCTGGCTCTTCTTTCTCCCTTACTTCCTTCCTCAGATCCACCAACATCCTCCTTAGGTCGTCAAGTTGATCCTGAAGGTCTTCATTTGTTACTCTACTGAAACGGTCTCTATCACGATAGCACATCTGAAACGTGAGGAAATTGTACGTCTCAAAATAAAAAAAAGAAATCGCTAAAAGTTGACGAAGAAAATAAGATGGCGATGGACATATTTGTGAAGTATGAACTATTATGTCAACAACTATGGAACGTGGATATGTGTGCATAACGTAAGTAATATGAAGTGAGATTTATGCCTCCTTTGCCTGGTCACCCCGTATGGTCAATCATCATACCCCAGCACGCTCCTCCCGCCTCAAGGGATTTTTCCCGTAGCCAATTAGAAATATGTGGCAAGGGAGCTCTTTATGTAGCAGCTCTCAGACTCTGGAATTAATTATTCGCCCTGTTTATAATTAACAAAAAGTGTTTAAGTTATGTGTGTCTATGCCCTATGTTAGCATATCACTTATGAAACCAAACCATATACAGCTTAGATTTCTAGCCCATCACCATCCCCCTCCTCCACCCTCGCCCTCCCCCTCTTTCGGACATACCTTGGCCAGCACTTTAATGCCCGGAAATCCCAATGAGACCAAGGGATATAGTAGTTGTCCTGAGGTGTACTTTACTGAAGAACGCCCTACTTCTTTACCGTTCAAGGAGAACAACACAGAGACTCTATCCTTACGGACTCCTTTAAAATCAACTTCACAGGCGATGAGATCGCCGCGATAAGCCATGGCTCCTTAGTCATCAACATAAGGTATTTAGAACATAGCAAAAAGAGGACAAATTAAACAAAGTTAACCAAAGGTGTAACAACATTGAGTGAAATTCAAATTGAACCCCTTAATGTTTACAATCTAACATTTCTGAATCTTTTTCTTCTGTGAAATCAGATGTTTATTGTTGCAAGGTGGGATTAAGGAGGACAGTAAAACCTTGAAGGCGTTTTCAAGTGCCTTCAGAACCTTGTTAGTCGGTAACTGGTAATTTTACCCTATTTCAAATTCGCCCCTAAAACGTCTTTGCATGAGTTTGCCCCCTGCTGTAAAACATGCACGCTCCCACCTTTACCAGTTCACCCCTAAAATATTTCAACATGTCTCCTTACGGTAGAACATTTTGAAATCTTAATTTACATCGATCAACATGAACTGATTTCACAGCAAAACCATAACAAAGTTCGACCAACATACAAATTATCAGCCGTGTGAAATGACACACGACTACCGAACAAGTGATGCAAAGCCGCATCATTACTCCGATCTTTATTTAACGTGCTTGACGCCATTTATGCTAGTGTTCGTAGCAAATTTCAGGAAATACTTTTATGAACAAACTAGACTAAAACTGCTTCTTTAGGAGTCCACATACATTCGAAAGCAATGACCAACATACGTATGTTGTAGTTTGATACTCGCACTCCTGCGTCGTTGCGCCCAGCATTTCATAACGACTTATCGTGCTTTTGAACTCTAGCCTTCTCCATCAGAAAACGAGTTGAAAGATTTAGGGGCGAACTCGTCTTGCTACGAGGGGAGACCTCACAAAGATTGTAATGGGACGAAACCTCCGTAAACATTTTAGTTAATACGTGACCTGCGGTCAAAGTAACCCATACCTTTGATCTCTCTTCCCATTTCAGGGCATCTACTGTCAAATATTTTCCCATCGTCTACGTGGTAACCAACTGTTCCATTATACCAACCAGGCATTTTGTGAAGGTCGTAATCCTTATTCACGGCACCTAGTGCAATAAAACGCCTCTCTCCAGTTCTCTGAATGAGTACCTGAAAAAAGGATGACGGTCTAGTCTTTCTATTATTTCTCGCTAAGCTCACAGCTCACTCTTTAAAAGTAAGTATAGTGGTTCACCAAAATAGAAACGAGGAAGAGCGCCTACAAGAGAAAGGTAACTAGGGCCTGGGCTTTCAAAAAGAGGTGTACTTATGTCGCTTTTCCAGAAATTTTACCGTGTAGCAGGAATTATGATGGAGGGTGGGGGGGGCTATACAATAAACTATGGATATATGTATGTCTGTCTATCTATCTGTCTATCTCTCTATCTATCGGTCTATCTGTCTATCTAGCTACCTGTCTGTCTGTCTGTCTGTCTGTCTGTCTATCTGTCTATCTTTCTGTCTGTCTGTCTATTTATCTGTCTATCGGTCTGTCTGTCTGTTTGTCTTTCTCTCTGTCTTTCTCTCTGTCTGCATGTGTAGTCATGTGCAGACAGTCACCATACACCCACTCGTATGCGTGGGTGTATGGTATGTATGTATGTATGTGTAAAACAAAGCCTCACCTCAAATCGTGGTGTCTCTGGTGTAAAGGGAGACTTGAATATGGCACTGTGAATGTCGTTAGGATTTGCATCTTTGCATTTTTTGCAGAAATCAGGTCCCATGTAAGTTAGGAGACAGCCATCCACAGCGATTCCCGGCGAATCATACCACGCCTTAAAACAATGATCGAACGAAACTTCAGTTACATGAGATATCTTTACAAAAGTGAGACAAAGAGATTGACACAGAAATAATTTCACAACTCTGCAAAAGTAGTTGTGTATATCTATATGCTCATATATCTTTTACAAGATTTTTATGTCATAATCAAAATAATTAATTTAAGTTGAACATCATTGTAAGTACTCATAACCACACACATCCCAAATCTACTTATAAAGCTTCAAGGGGAGAGAGAAAATATGTTACAAAGTGTATTCAGTAATTTTCTCCGTTCACATTTAAATTTGCATGAAGGAAGAATTTTTGTGTAAAATAAAAATGTAACAAAGGTATTTCCTGGTGTAGCAAGATCTACAGAGTGTGTTGGGGAAACTGTTCCTTAAGAAGTGAATGTAGGCCTGAAAAACACTTACTCCTTGTCCAAACGCAAGTTTCTCCTCCTTGTTTCCACGCGGTCGGAATATTTCCCGTACAATCTGATTAGTCATTTTCCGACCTCCTTCATTTTGTTTTACCAAGTGATCCACCTTTTTCTCCTCTAAACAAATATAGGAAACTACCCTATTAACTTGGCCTGTTTTGAATGGTGTTAACAAAATCATTGCAAATGACTGAATATATGAAAGTTATATATGAGATACGCGGATCAAGAAATGAATATGAAAGTGATCATCCCAGTAATGAACACTACCTGAGCAGTCGTGAAACTAAGGCCTGAAACAATCACGATACGCGTCTTTTTTATTCTTATCCTAAATAGTTTGAAATTCTCCAGAAATATTCGTTCAATAATACCCTTGCTGGTTTTGGTAGGACAACAGCTCTTTCGCACCTTCTTTTGTTTGTTTTATGACCGCATCATAAATGTGAGGCTATTAACAAATCAAGCATATCACCCTACCTGTGAGGGGAAATTTATAACCGTACTTCTCAAAGTATCTTCTTTCTAGGTTCTTCACCAGTGTATCCAGGGTTCTACTCTATCGAATCAAAGAAATTTCAAATCAAAAGCAAAGAAAAATAACTGAGTGGACATAAACGATAACTCTCAACAACAGTGGCTCTTTTAAAAACTCACAAAAATATATTAGCACAGCGTTACCAGCTTACCCGTCCTGCCTCATCCAAAGCAGGAGTATAAGACGATCTGCAGCATGGACTCCTCAAAAGGATGTACCGGAGTAACATCAGTGAGAGAGACAAAATGTTGAAAGGCACTGGTATTGGATGATTGGTGCTGTAAGTCCTGACAGTAATGGCTCTCTTGAAAGACCACTCCTGCAGTGAATTATCCTAGAGACACAAAGAGGGACTTAACAGCCTTTAAGGGAGGTACCAGCAAATAGGAACAACAGGCGTCACTTCCTCAGCAGGAGAAAAACTATGTCATATCGTACACAAGAAACAAAATTCTATATCATTTTTGTTTACAAAAAAACTCCTCGAAATTTGAATTTAAAAACTATGAATTCAATTGCGGACGCGTCTCACAAAAGGAAAAGGGAACTTAAGCAAGCCACAACGCCAACGGCAACGTATGGGTCAACGAAAGATCTAGTAAACAATAGCTCAGCACGTGCGTTTTAAAACTGTCCACATTTCTTAGCCAACGACGTGAAATCACCAAAATTTGCGTGGTCTGAGAGTGGAACCTCGACGGCAAATTTTCCCGGCAAGTTTCTCTTAAGGCTGTAAGGCTGCTTACATGCGTTAAGCTGAAGTTGAGGTGTGGCGCCGTAAACCTATCTAAATAAAAACATAGCTCTATTTTATCGATCGACTTCTTCCTCAGCGTTGCCGTCCTGACTGCTTAAGGTCCCCAATATCATTGACCGAAGCCTTGAGCTGCTCTTCTCGGGTTGATCATCATTTAGGCAGGGAAACAACACGGGTTTGATGTGGAACCTTTTTAACCAGTTAGGTTGTAATATTGTTGGCCAAAATAGATCTATATTTGATCATAGAAGCTTATCAACTTTACGAAAAATATCTGGTATCTTTTACGAAAAAAAAGCCCATATTTTCTTTATTCTGGATTATGAGAAGAATAAATTAATTCCGTGATGGTAGGGACCTGTTTAGTACCTGAACCTGCTGATACGTATTGGAGAGCAAAGCAATCATCATGTTCACGAGAAGAACAACTGCCATAACTAAGAACAAGCCGTACAGCACTTGAACAAGAAAAACGGAAAGATTGTCGACGGAGTTCAACCTATCCAGGTCAGCTAAACCCACACTGTAAAATGAAAAGAGCCAAATTGACCCCAAAAGCCAAATTGGCCCCA